TAAAGGGGTTGGGTGCTGCTCTTATGCTGCTATTAGTGTAATAGTAAATTCACTGTCCATTGGTAAATCCCAGGCATCCTGTCTATTAAGCGGAGCGCCTTTCGCCAAACTGGGTGGGCAGAGGTAACCTTGCTACTCTTCCCCTTTCTGTCTTGGTCTGCCACCTGCTGGTGAGGACCAGAATTACAGCTGCTGGAAAGCCCTCCCCCTTACCTCCCCTTACTTTCCCCCTCCTCAGTCTTGGGAGAGAGGAGTGGCGTCTAGGTGGGGAGAGGGTAAGGAGATATGAGCCCCAAATTCTGAGGCCACGAGAAGCTTGCAGAGATTCCTAAAGGCTTGTCCACCGCAATGATGAGAAAAATCAGTTCTCATGTCTTACCTATTTTACTTCCCAAATAACTGCGACTGGTCCCCTTTGTTCCATCCCTGTGCATCTCCTGGTCCAGGCCACCTCTTGGGATGATACAGCAGCCTCTTCACCCTGGCCTCGCTTTCTCCACTGCCTTCTCCTTACGGCAGCCAGGAGGAATTCTCAAAAACTGCAGATCTGGTCGTGTCATTCCCCAGCTTCAATCTCTCAGTGTGTCTGCACAGCCCCTGGACAAAGTCCTAGCCCCGTCCCCCAGCCCACAAGGCCCTTAAGGCTGTCACCCCTGCCTGCTCAGCCCTTGTTATATATCTCTTCCCCTCCCAGGCCTCTCCAGCTTGCAGGCCTTGTTCATGCTGCTCCCTGGCCTGGCCTCCTTCCCCTCTTTGCCTGGGGAACTCCTGCAAACTCCCAAGGCTCAGTGTGGATGCTGCTTCCTCCAGGAGACCTTCCTTGATCCCACAGTCTTTCCCAGCATAGCCCTTATCAAGTCATATTGCTTTTTGATCTCGGTTCCCCACAGGGACTCTGAGCAGGGACTGTGTCTGGTCTTCTTCACTGTGGTATCCCCCGTGCCTACCCAGTCCTTGATGCATAGTGGGTGAGTAATGACTGACTCAACTCTCTCCAGCCATTTTCTTGGACTCTCTGTCTTGCCCCAATCCTGAGCTGACCTGGAGGTTCCTATAGTGGCCACAATGCCCTGGCAATGATGTTGAGAACCTCATAGGTGTTTGGCATTTTGTGATGCCCACCCCAGGGGACCCTAGGGGGGCTGGTTCTAGAATGCCATCTCCTTGGTGGGTTTTGGTGGTACGCCTGATGGTCATCTGGGCTCCTTTTCATCATTTGGAGGATGTGCCAGCAGAGACCTGCCCCTGGTTGAGGAGGAGGGGAGGCGGGAGGGGGCATGTCCCGTACTCTCAGCCTCATATTCTCCAGCATGCAACAGCACATGCCCTTTATTCATGGAGACCTGACCCTGTGGGTGACAATTCCTACATGCTGGGTGTCTTGTCTCCTAGCCCAGGCCCAGGCTCAGTCCCATCCAGTTGGCCTTGGCCGCTGCCTCTCTTGGGATGGGTCCCCCAGAAGCTGACTTTGGGGTGAGGATTCTCAGGGAGGTGATTTAAAATTTTTTTTAATGTTTATTTATTTTTGAGAGAGAGAGAGATAGAGAGAGAGAGATAGAGAGACAGAGAGAGGCAGAGAGTGAGCAGGGAGAGGGCAGATAGAGAGGGAGACACAGAATCTGAAGCAGACTCCAGGCTCTGAGCTGTCAGCACAGAGCCTGATACGGGGCTCGAACTCAGGAGCATGAGATCATGACCTGAGCCAAAGTCGAATGCTTAACTGACTGAGCCACCCAGGCACCCTGCAGGTAATTTATTAAGGATGGGCTCCTGGGGGACACACGTAGGGGAGTGGAGGAGCAGGACAGGAAAGGGGAAACAACCAAGCAAAGGGACACTTTCAGGCCAAGTTCCAGCTTTGGTTCGATCCCATGGGGAGCCCTGGACTGTAAATTGCACCTCATGGTTGTCCTGCTGCAAGACAGGGAGCTGGGCTTTCTGGTTCCCAGCCAGGCAGTCAGGAGCTGTGGACCATCCTGTAGTGATGTAAACTCCCACACTTGCTGGCCTCTCTTTTTTGCCCCAGTGAGCAGAGGAGGTATGAATAGCCTGAGGGCAGTTCTCCAAGAGGAGTGCAGACTGGTCGAGGGGACCTGGGTGGGGCACCGGCCATTCCAGTGTGCTGCCTTTCCAAGCTCCCCCTCTCCAGGAGACGCTATCCCCAGTTCTCTGATTCATCTCATTGATGCTTTCTCAATCTTCTTTAAAGTGCTGTGCGAGACAGCTTTTAGAAGAGTGCCACGAATCTTCTCTCTCAACAAGGTGGCCATCCCATGTCCTTTCATTTTTTTATTTTTATTTTTTAAAGTTTGTTTATTTATTTTGAGAGAGAGAGAGAGAACACAAGCCAGAGAGGAACAGATTGAGAGGCAGAGAGAGAGAGAATCCCAAGCAGGCTCTGAGCTGCCAGCACAGAGCCTGATGCAGGGTCTGAACCCACGAACTGTGAGATTGTGACCTGAGCTGAAGTCAAGACTCGGCCCCTTAACCGACTGAACCACCCATGCACCTCCCATATCCTTTTAAAATAGGGACCACTGCTAAGAGCTCTGTCTGCAAGGACTTCATTTTAGAAGTTGTCATCGTGCCTCGTTGGTGGCACAGTTTGGTGGATCTGCTTTCAGGTAGTTCCGTGAGGTTAAGGCCTCGCAGTCAGAGCTCTTTTACAGCCTCTCTGCACCTTTCTCTGATGTTCTCTTCCTTGCCTCCCCCTCATGCCTTTTTGTCTCAAAAATAAATAAACGTTAAAAAAAGAGAGTCCTTATTCTTTTATAGCAAAATGTTTTTTTAATGTTTTTTTATTTATTTTTGGGGGAGAGACAGAACATATGAAGGGAGGGTAGGAAAAAGAGAGGAAGACACAGGAATCTGGATGTCAGGTCTGAGAGCTGGTCCTGAGGTCGAGGCCCGATGCGGGCTTCGGAACTCAACTGGGCGGGAGATCATGACCTGAGCTGAAGTCAGAATCTTAACCACTGAGCCACCCAGGTTTGGTTTTTTAAATTTTATAAAGTATTCTGAGAAGTGAGTCAGCTAAGTGAAGAGGAGTGGTGCGGTCAGGGTCCAGGGCCTGCAGAAAACCCCCATTCAGCTGGCCTCAGTCAGTCCTGGGGATGCGGAAGGAAGGGCGACTGGGTTCAGCGGGTCGCACCTTTGTCTTTTGACTGTCAGGTGTGAACAGAAGGCCCTGCCACGTGGAACAAAATGGGAGGAGTGGAGCACATCCAAGCTGCAGGCATTCTCCACCATGCACATGTAAGGAAGGGTCTGCAGAAGAGTCAGTTGGTGCCGGGGGGGGGGGGGGTCGCCGACAGCTTTGGCGCATAGCATCTGGCTCTTGACTGTGGCTCAGGTCATGATCTCCAGGTTTGTGAGTTTGAGCCCTGCCTTGGGCTCTGTGCCAACAGCACAGAGCCTGCTTGGGATTCTCTCCCTCTCTCTCTGCCCCTCCACTGCTCATGCTCCCTCTCTCAAATAAACTTAGAAGAAAAAAAAGAGTTAGGTGGGGCCACCAACAAACTCCCCCTTTAATCCCTGAGAGTGATCTGCACTGGGAAAAATGGGGGAATGGGATTGTGTGGTGGGGGTGGGGGGAGCGGTGCCTGGCTGGGTCCCCTCTTCTGACTTCCCCAGCCAAGCCTGCTCAAAGTTGTCCTCTCAGGCTTTGAGCACCGATCTTCACCCTACTGGGACTGCAGCCCAAGTCCCAGCCACCATGGCTCCTGGCCGAAGTTTCCCACACTCTGTCGCCTCCACCCCAGGCCCTCTTGGCACATTTGAAGCCCTGCTAACCCCAGGGCCCCACACCACTGGTTTACACAGGACTTGAGCTGCTGCTGGTCTGCTGCGTAGGGTGTTCGCACCTCTCTGTAGGTTTTGCAGCCTCTCCAGTTCATGCTCCAGGAGCCCGGGTACCAGTGCTTTCTGCTCCCATGACCCCCGCCCAGGATCTGGTCTAGGCATTCCCTGCTTGGCCCTTCTCAGAGACCGCAGGCAGGGTCTTTGTACATGTCCCTTGGGCCTTACCACCTCAGGGGGCTCCAGTGGCTGGTATCAATGCCTCTGGGCTAAGGACTCTCTGCAGAGCCACAGATGGCCACTCTGTCCTCTCTAGGGCGGACAAAAAGTGCTCAGGAATTCGCATCAGCCCCAACACTAGCAGCACCCTCCCTAGCAGTGACTGACAGGACTGATGCAGACGCATCTCAACCTCGCCCTGGCTAAGAGATCTCTGGTGTGTGTATTCTACACCGATTCCCGGGGATCCTTGTGGGACTGAGCTCCACTTACCCACAGCTGTAGCAGAGCCGATAACACACCCTTTACTGGCTACCTTCCTCTCCTGTCTTACTTCCACACCCCCATTGGTGTTTTCTAGAATCACTTCCCAAATAAGTCTCAGGGGCTGCTTCTGCAGAACCACTCAGAAACAGCCAGAAGGTCTTTCCTGCAGCCTGCCTCTTCCTCCCAGTCTTCCTTAGGAACCCCCCCCCCCCCCCCCCCCCCCCCCCGCCCCTGCCCGCCCTGCTCCCACTCTGGATTCTCCATCTCTCATTCCAGCAGCAGATCAAGGCAACATGCTCTGTGTCCGTCCTCTGGCTCTCTCTAGTACTGTGGGTTTTACAGCTTAAGCTGAGAGCAAAGGATTCATTTACCCTTCAGCAAAACCTCTATGAAACCAACCTCCTTTCCAGCTGCCTAACCTGGTGCTCGAGGCTGTCATCGACCTGTCCCAGCTTGTGGCCCAAGCAAACCCGGCCTGGGCCAGTTTGATCTCAGGGAGAAACACTGCACATCGGAAGGTCAGAACGTTCATTCAAAGTCAGCAAAAATAAAATTTAATTGTGCGCTGCAGGTATGGGCAGTCTGTCCTTCCTCAGGAGTGACAGCCAGCCTGTTCTCTCCAGAGCAGACGGGCTCTGGAAGGATCCCTGAGTCTGGCCACCTTGGGTGAGCCGCCTCAGCCCATGAGAGGGGTCTGCTTCCAAACAGGGGAGGTGCACAGTGCATGGGGATTCCCCCAGCACTTTCCACAGGCCTCTTGGCCCCCTTCTCGTCGCTGCAGCCAGCTCTGACTCCTAGAGTAGCCAGGAGCTTCTTTGGTCCACAGCTACCCTACGGTATCTTCCGGGGAACACAGCCTTCCAGCTCCAGCAGCTCCGGCCAGCCCTCATACTTGTTTGTGTTTGGGTTGTTCTTTAAGAACTAGAGAGAGAGAGAGAGAGAGAAAGAGAGAGACGTGGCCCACAGGGGAGGCTGTTCAGAATTCACACCTGAATTGTCATTGTGCTTTTAAACCTCATGCCTTCACTCACTTTGTTCTGGCTTTGGCCCCATGGGGAGGTGGTGGTGTTGGATATAACCAGCCCATTTCATAGGAGGGGAAACTGAGGCTCAGAGGGACTACAATTTGCCCAAGGTTTTACAGAGGGGATTAGAGCTCAGTCATCCCTCAGTGCCTTGAGGGTGGGGGGCGGCGGGGAGCACCAAGCGTGGGAGGTGGGCTTGCCGAGCATTAGCTCCTCTGCCAAATTCTCTATCAGCCCCTCTAGGACACCCCCAGACAACCAGAACAATGAGAAGAAGCATCCTAGCAATTCGTGAACACTTGTCCTATGCCAGGCACAAAGTACCTTATGTTTTTATTCCTTATGGTAGCCCCAGGAAGGGCATACCATTATCATCCCATTCTATAGATGGGGAGCCTGAGGCACAGAGGCCCAAAGTAACTGCCTGTGGCCACTTAGTTGGTAAGTGGCAGAACCACTTTGTAATATTAATTAAAAGTAAATAGAATAAAATCAGTTAAGATTGTGTTTAAAGTGCCTGGGCTTAATTTACGGAAGAAACGAATGTAAGTGGCAAAGTCTACCAGTGGGATAATCGTGGCTCACCCTAGGGAATAAAGTCATTCTAGATGCTGCTTCTCTAACGCCCAGCGCCCCGTGTGTGGGAACAAAGGACTAGGTGGTTTCGGTCACACCGTGGCCTCCGATTCATTTCCGGGTGATGGGTCGACTTGCGTGCTTCTTCTTTGCTGTCTTGGCCCGGTTTTGACGGGTTTGGAAGCTGGGCTTTATGAAGAACCCGGCCTGTGGCCTGAAGCCTCTTCCCTGCCTCCCGCCCTGCCCCCTCCCTGCACCTCACACAGGGATGCGCTGGAGCCCCCGCCCGATGTCTGTGGTCTTCACCCGGAGGCTATCAACAGAGGGCTCCCTCCTTTTCTCCTCCAGCACAAGCTACTTTGTACAGTGATTTTTAAAAAGTAATTTCTAACGACCTGAATTCATTCTCTTAGAAACTCACGCATACAAACAAGGCCAGCATTTTCTAGACAGGGCAAAAACCCTTGCAGCCCATTGTGGTCCCCCCCAACCTGGAGTTCAGCCTTCTGACGCTGTCCCTCCCTGCCACCCATGGCCCCTTCCCTGCAGGCTGCTGTGCCTCTTGTCTGATTGCTGCCTGGGCCTCCTCCCTGCCTTCTCCACACTTCTCCGTGCTCAGCCGGGGAGGCTGTGCTAAAAGCATCAGGACGAGAAATCTTTGTGGAGGCAGGCTGACCTGATGACAGCTGCATCTGCATTGCTGAGTAGCTCAGACCTGAGCAAGCTGGTTAAAACCTCTCCATGCCTCCGGATCCTGGACTGTGAGATGGGAGGATAATTGTACCTGCTTCATGTGGGAATCAAAGAAGGCGCTGCAGGTAGCTTGCTCAGCCGAGCCTGCACAGAGCAAGTGCTTGCTGAATGCTAGCTAGTCTTTCTTATATATCAATCTGTGCTTGTCCCTTTCCTGCTTAAGCCTTCCATGGCTCCCCACTGCCTTCGGGATAGAATTCACTCACCTCACTAGACCTTTATGCCTGAATCATCGACTCTTAGCTGCCTTCTGGGCAGAACTGAATGTTGTCACCTCCAAAGATGGGGCTACTTCATGCCCGGGGAAGATCTGGCTAGTTCTCCCACATTTTGGAACTGCTCTGAGCTGGGGACGCACAGATGGGGGACAGGGAGAGAAGGTGCAGCATTTCCCTGCGAGTTCCCAATGCTGCCTTAACTCCCCTTTCCTCCTCTGAGCAATCCTGAGACCCCACTGCTGGGGGCCTCCTAGACCCTGCTTGGGGACACCCCTGGGTAGTGACTGTGGAGCCACATGTCATGGACCCCTGCTGACCCCTTCCATGTCAGGTGGGCTCTCCTGTGTCCTCCTCTTGATGCAAGTTTACTCTCTCCACAGGGAGCTTAGAAGGGGACAGCTCCTCTGGTCCAAACCTCTCTCTTCAGGTGGGGAGCCTGAGCCCTTGGGGGGAAAAGGGGTGTGGCTTAGGTTTCCATTGGGACCAGAAGCTAGGCATCCCCCCTTCTCTGGGCTCCCCTCTCTGCCTGTCATGCAGGCTTCATCTCTACATTCCTTTCTCTTTTTTTCCATGCCTCTCTTGCCTTCATCCTTCTTTTCTGCTTTTCCTTCTCTTTTTTGGTACTTATCCGATAATTTATTATGACCCACCTCCTTGCAAAATAGTCAAGGCCACTTCCTGCTGGGGGATTACCCAGTCAGGCCACCCTGACCTCTAGGGGTCCCCACACCATTCTTCCAAGCCACCCCAGTCCTTGTCCATCTATCCCTGGCAACTTCCCCCCACCCCACCCACTTCACTGGGATGGGATGCCACCAGGAACCCACCTGCTCAAAGGGGCTTTTGTCCTTGAGGTCTTTGGCTCCTAAAAAGACCCAGCTATCTCTGAAGCCCAGCTGCTTTGCGTAAGAACTGCCCAGGCTGGAGAGGAGCTTCCTGGTCTCATCATTCAGTCTGCAGAGGAGCAGAGAACACGGTGAGGTGGAGGGGTGGGGGAAGGGTCAGGTTCTCAGGCCCTTGGCCTACGAGCAGAGTTGTGTTCAGGAAGAACAGGGCTGAGTGGCAAGGACTTCTCTCAAGAAGCCACTTGGAGGGGGCTGGAGAGGTGTTAGTACAATTTTGCTTCTGTTTTCAAATATACATGTTTATTTCGAAAATATGGAACATCACAGAGGAACTAAAAATTAGAGTCTCACCCCGCTTGACATAATCATTATAAAATTTTAATATATTTCCTTCATGTCTTTTTTTCCCCCAGGTACTGTGGGATCATACCAATACTTTTACAAACTGCTTCTTTTTTTCCTCTTAATGCTAAAAGGTGAACATTCTTCCATATCCTTAAATTATTTTCTACATCATTTTTGATGCAATATATATATATATATATATATATATGTATATAATATGTCACCTACCAGCATGTGTCATAATTTCTATAACTAGTAGGTCTTTATTGGACAGGGACAGTGTGTCCAGTTTTTTACTGTTGTAACCAAGGCTGTGATGGGCCTCTTAGAACATGTACACTTGTCTGGTTATTTCCCTAGGAAAAGTTGCCAGAAGATAGAGCCAGCAGGAGAGTGGGAAAAGGCACTTAGGGCTTGGAAGCATTTGGTTTGCCATGGCCTGGCAGGTGGAGGTTCCCACTTACCTGGTTCCTGGGTCGTCATAGGAGGCCACCAGCACGAGTGCGCCCTCTGGAATTTCTTTAAGGAATTTCACCAGCAGCTTCACTTCTGCGGGAGGAAGGAAAGCAGGGTGCTGGTCATTTAGGGGAAGTGGCCACTGGTCATTCTCATTCTCTGCTACTGCTCTGATCAACCAGGAGTGGCCAGGGGCAGGCTGACACTGAGCTCCGTCTGAAGCTCGGGGGCCGGTGGGAGGTGGCATCTGGGGTGGAGCTGTCTGCAGCCCTTGTCCAGGGGAGAGCAACGTGCACAGAGCAGGGGTAGCCTCATTCAGGTGGTTAAGCGTGGACATTGGAATTTGAAAATTCTACAGGCAATTCAGATGTGCAGCCATAAGTGAGAGACATTGCGCTAAGGGCCCTTGGGGACCTACACCCAAGGTATGGAGGTCTTTGGCCCCTAAGAAATCATCTCTCAACATCTCTGGGCTCTTTGCATACCCTCCACCACCTCCTTCTACACTAGTTAACAACCTAACTTGTCTGTCCTGACTTTAGAGGATAGACCCACTGGATCACAGGCAACTCAGGTCACTGAGAGAGAACATTAGTGTCCTACAGATCCCCAGCTTACACCAAAGGGCAAGCTTCCCTTTGCATCTTGAACACCGCACTGCAGGTGCAAAATCTGTGCATTTAACAGAGACAGGCCTAGCTGCAGCACGTTGGGGAGGGATCAGCACCCAGCTGGAGCTTATCTTTATGGCCATCTTTGCTGCATAAAAAGTGATAACTTAGGGCAGCGATATAGGTTCCTTTTTAAGATTATTTAGGTTAAAAAAGTGAGCTGATTCAAAGGAAAATACTAATAATTCAGACAGTACTCTGGACATGGCATAAAGTATGCAAGGGGCTCTTGAATGGCTGAAGAAGTATGGGCAAGACTGGCCTAGTGGGAAAATCAGGGCTGTATCTGTCACACGAGGATGATCAGTAGCACTGCCCAGAGAATTTTTGTAAAGAGCAAATGTGACGAGGACTCTTGGGCATACAGAAAGTGCACTATAATGGAACTGCAATTCTTAGCAGCATCTGTAGCATAATTTTGGGGGCCCAGTGCAAAATGAAAATGTGGAGCCTTTTGGGGCACCAAGCTGGCTCAGTCGGTAGAGCATGTGACTCTTGATCTCTGGGTTGTGAGTTTGAGCCCTACGCTGGGCATAGAGATTACTGAAAAATAAAATCTTAAAAAAGACAAGGAGACTTTTGTTAAAAAAAATATTAAGAATTTCAAGATGGCAAAACTAGAGCATCAAACCAAACCCGAATTCGCTCTAAGCACAGGGCCCTGTATGGCCACTCCACCCATAGGTCCATGCCCATGAAGACAAGCCAGTTCTTATATTCCCTGAGGATCCCTTGGATCTAGGGGAAGAATCAAGTCCTGAAAGCCAAGGTCAGCTGTCAACCAGCTCAGTAACACAGAGGCCTGTGTAGTCCATGACCACAACCTGTCCTCAGATGCTTCTGTTTTTGGGTCCCTGTCAGTCATGGTTACCTTCAACTTGATAATAGGGCAATATAAAATTTAGTGTTTTTTTAAGTTATTTTTTCCCCCTTTTCATTCTGACAATGACCTCCTTGCTTCTTAGTCCTGTGGATGGAGTGAGGGAGAAGGGAAGGGAAGGGAGAACACTGAATGAGCCCCCCAGGTCCTTTCTCCAGCCAGGCAGGGCCCCTCCCACTGATTAGTGTGGGTTACCACTCAATCCCCACGTCAGTCTCATGAAGTGGACACTGTGGATTCCCTCCATTTTACAGATGACAGAACTGAAGTTCAAGAGGTGTCATTGCCTCACCCTGAAGTCTTTGACTCCAGAGACTGGACCTTGTCCATAAACCTGGCCCCCGGCCACCCTGAACACCTGGGGGGTTCCTAGACAGAGAACAAATGACATCCTCTGGCCTTCGGCCAATAGTCTGCCCCACGTTCTTCTCACCCCTGTCTTAGCTCTGTCCCGCACCAGTAGGGGACTTGCGTGCCTGCATGTGGACACCCCCAGTCTGCCGGTCCAAGCTCTGTCTACACCACCCTCCCCTCCAGAAACTGCCATGCCCTGGCCAACCTTCAGTCCTAAAGGTGTATCTGTGGCTTCTGCCCAAGGGGGTCACACCTCGAAGACGTCTGCATGGGCCCTGATGCAGGCTTCCAGTCGGCACATCCTCTGGCCTTGCAGACCCTACCTTCGAGGTGGGACTCAGGTGGAGGATGGCCATCATAGGACCCATGGGATCCTCTGAAGCCCTGGGCACAGGACAGGGTGCCGGCTCGCGTCTCTAAGTGTGGTTACCTTCCAAACATTCGCAGCTGTGACTTTGGGCACCAGACTCCCATTTCAATGCCTCCTTTGTTTGCAAGGCCAAGAGGGCTTCCCACTTTCTCGCTGCCTGGCTTTGTCTCCTCTTGGGCTTGTGCGGTTAGGTGGGCACAGTAGGGGAGTGATGCCCGAGCCTGGAGCTGGGCCCTGAGGTTGCAGGCACAGGGGAGGGTAGCCTAGCTGAGCTGGGCTCTGAGAAGGGGGGTGAGCTCAGTTCACCTATCCTGATGGAAACCGGCTTTTGCAGGACCAGGACTCCTGCTGCCTGCAAGGGGCCGCTCTGCTGCTTTTCCACTCCTTATTGAGGCTCCTGTGTCAGAGGGAGGGAGGTGGGTTGCCAGCTGGGCAGTGGGTGGCATAATGGGTCTGGGACTTATTCTACCATGTTTTGGAAGATATCGGGATTGTTGGGTGAGAGTCCTGCCCCCACCATGGCTTTGCCAGTCAGCCTGTGGGCAAGGAAGCTGCTGGTGGGAAATTTCAGCCCAGGTAGGTCAGTGTCCTATAAGGCAAGGAGGACAGTGGGGTGGCTACATGCACAGAGAGGTTCAGAAAGCATGCCTGTGCACAGAGAGAAGAAAAGATGTCTGTAGAAAGATGCAGAGAGCTTGGAGCCTCAGAGATATCCTTTCTGGACCTTGGGAGGCCTTGTCCTGTCCTTGGGCCCAATGGAGACCCTGCAGCCTTAAAATATAATACTCTCCACCCAGCAGAGCAAAGTAGGCCGTATGTCCTTGCCCTAAGCACTTCAGTGCACACATGCCTGGCCTCCACCTGCCAGCACCGGCATATCTTTGCCTGAAGGTTTTCTCCCACCTCCAGACCTTCCTTTGTGCCCTGGGGCAGGCCAGAAGTGTGGGAAGTGCCAAGGAATTAGGGGCAGGAGCACCCCAGCTCCCTTGCCCCTTGAGACCTCTCTGAGGCATGTGTTGGACACTGGCTCCTGAGTTCCAGTTGCCCGCAGCGTTCAGCTTGATGACACATCGCACTGGCTACCTTCCTTTCCCTGTCTCACTTCCCGCTGATATTTTCTGAGGTCACCTCCTTCCAAGTCAACCGCTGCCCTTGAATCCTTGTCTCAGGCTCTGCACCCAGGAGAGGAGTTTCAAAGACAGCAGGATGGCGTCCCACCCCCACCATGCTTCTTTCTGGTTGTCTCCTCCGGAAACCAGAGCCGAGCGTCCTAACACCCCATGGCTCTCTTGCCACAGGAAGCAGCTCAGCCCACCCTGTGACCTCAGTGCCAACAGAGAGGTGCCTACCTCCAGAGTACATGTCGAAGCATTTCTGTGTTAGCACCATTCCTGTGGTTCCTAGGGATGAGAGAGCAAAACTGTGATTTCCTGGAATGTGTCATCCTGCCTATCGTTTTGCAGAAAATGGCTACTCTTTAAGGTCTAAAAATAGAATAATAATGGAGTAAAATCAGGCCCTGTGGAAAGCATGCAGCACTAAGTAGGTGCCCACTAACCTTTGAGCTGATCTGAGAGGTACAAGAACACAATGGTGGAGGATCTCTGGAATGGAACGGTATCCAGCTAATCTGGGTCTGTGTTTTGCCTTGCCACTTCCTAATGCACCACTTAGTATTTGGACCTCAATTTTTGCATCTGAAAAATGGGCTATGGGAACTAAGCGAGATTTATGTACTTCAAATAGGTAGTAAACACAACAAGATAAATTTCAGCTGGAAAATAGTAATAAAAAGAACTACAGCCGTCATCATTATTCCTACCTAAACAGGAAACCTGTAATTTGAGTCCTCCGACTCTAGAAGACAAAGGGACTTGCCGTGGGCTGAACTGTACCCAGTACTCGGAGTCTAGTAATCTGAATGGCGTTTGTGGGTTTTGCAAAGGGTCCAAGTCCTACAGAAAACCAGGTGTTCTGGGGAAGTCGCAGTTCTCACTCTCCGCCACTAGATGGGGGTGTTGCAGAGGGGATGGCAGATCTACGTTTTCACCCCTGGTCCCTTCCCCCTTGCGTTAGCTTGGGGATCCGGGAAGAGGGTGGGGACAGGGGCCTGGGTAGTGGAGGCTCTCCTGCTGGGTGGGGGAGCTCACAGTGCAGCCCTTACTGGACTCTCAGAGCCACTAGTGTAGGGTCCTTTGAAGGGGGGGAGGGGTCTATGTACACATGAAACTATGATCATGTGCGTTTGTGGATTTTTCTGGAATTAGGGGGAAAAGGTGCAGACTGAAGTTTCTTAAAGGAATCTCTGCTCCCTAAAAGGTTGAGAACTACCAATATTTACCAATCTTTTTGATGGCTTATTATACAGTTGAGACTGTGAGGCCCTGAGAGTGATTTGTTGGATTTCCCCGCAGCTGGCATGCAGTAGGTGCTACATAGATGTTTGGAGAGGATTTTAGTCTAGGGAAGTAAGTAATTCAGCTGGGTGATTAAGACCTGGAGTCAGCCAGATCTGGGTTCAAATCTATTGGCTGTGTAACCTTGGGCAAGTTGCCTAACCTCTCTGAATTTCCATGTCTTACCTCCATACGGAGTCTATAGCTCCATTCTAGCATCGGGGTGAGGCCGAATGACATAGCACACAGTGAATGCTCTGTAACAGCTCTTGGTGTTACTGATGCCTGTGTTCGTCTTTGGGCTTTGTGAGGGGAGGAGAGGGAGGCCCCAAGCTAAGCCTGTCTCATTGGACACTAGTCATAGAGGTCGTCTCCTGCAGTGGCCCATTTCAGGGAAGAGAGAACCAGCAGGTTTCAGCCAGATGGGCTGCAGCCAGGGCCAGTTCCTGCCCTTCCCACTGGGGTGAGGGGTGGGGGTGTG